AGCGGGCGGGCAGAGCTCCCGTTGGGGCGGAGGTGTGCAGCGGTCATGGTCGCCCTCTCAGCCGCTGGGCAGCCCTTGTGTCGTCTGAGCCTTATTTTAAAACACTGTGTGAAAGCAAATTACTTTTTTTGCGTTCACTTCTGAATTTTTGTGTTTATTTTAGTGAGGTCTGGGGCCTTTTTTTTTTTTTTAAGGAAAAAAATAGTGTTCAGTCACCTAACTTTTTTTCTTTCATTATGGCCTGAAATACGATCAGCCTTTCGTGTGCTTTTGGCCTTTGTTCGGGCATACGCTGCTTATAGTTGCCTGGTGTATTTATTAGGAGCAAAGACTCGGTGAGAACGTAAGGTCTAGAAGCACTGGTTTCTAAAGGGTGCTCGTATGGCACCCTTTGTCTTGGGAAATTAAGATACAGTAACTCCAGTCTGCACAACTGGTATTCTGATAAGCTGCTTTTAAGCATTGCTTCCAGTGGTGGTGGCGGCAAACGCTGGAGATGTATTGGAGACACCATTAAGGCAGAGGTCTGTCCAGAGATATGTACCTCATGAGCCCCTTCAGTTTCTGGATCCAGTGTAAGTAACCAGCTATCATGTTGTCAGTGATGGCATCTGCAACCATTGCAACTAGTTATTGCTGTATTCTGCTTATAGAGTGGGTTAGTTCCCACGTGAAGGACAGCTCACCTGGTAGTTTCTTGCCATCTTTTTTCTAGTAGAGGAGGAGAGGATATCAGAAGTTTAATTGAAAACACTTCTGTGAGGAAGGCAATAGGACGCTCCAGCTGTTTTCTCAGCCTCTGGATAAGACTGAAAAATATGATTCTGCAGAATAGTTGATGGTTCATGTTTTATGCCAGCAAATCAGAGCCAGCGCTCTTCAGGAGTGGGATGAAGAGCTGTAATTACTCAAAGTGTGTCTGTAGTGTGTGTGTGTGTCATAAATGAACAAAACCTGTCTGATCAGAATTGCAAGTAGCTTGTTATAGACTATCTGGCTTAGACCAGCCTGTAAAATAGTAACAACACTTAGGATAAGGCATCCAAATTGTCAGTGGGCTTATAAATGGGCTCAGCTTTGAAAGTGTTGACTGGTGGAATTGTAGGGGAATAAAGGTGCAAGAAAGCAGCCGGGACAGGTAGGGACTGGGAGGAAGATGGGATTTCTTGACTGGGCAAAGAGATAAGAGCCTTGAAGCAAACAGCCCACAGTGATGGAGGTGGAAGAGATTGTCCAGGGACCAAGGGGGGTACTAGTCTTTGGAGTGGGGAAATGTGTGTTAGGAAAATAGAAATACTTAAAACATCAGCATTTATAGACTCTTGTGGCAAATACTTACATTTGCAATCACTAAGTTGTTGACTCTAACAAATAATAATGTTTATAAACATTCACAGTATGTTACAAGGTTTATAAACAAGTTGTATTTGTTTTATATAGATTTACCTTTTACTCTGTAAAATAAATGACTTGTGTTTCTTTAG